TCCCCATCCTCCCCCGCCTCTTCTATAGGAAGGACATACAAAGTTTGTCGCAGCTGGGAATCTTCATACATACCCCGAATCCAGATTTAACGTTAGATACTAACCTCCTCTTCCTACAGCTTTCCCTGTACCCCGTTTTCCACGTGAGGCAACTTGGATGATGCTATAGCTTGAAGTACAGTCGCAGTTTTTTGGGTGTTGCAAGGTCAGATTTTTGATTGTGTTTTTGGTTGGGGGGGTCTTAATGAGGCAAAATCTGCTTTTGACCCTCCTAGGATGTTAGGTATCTGAAGAGCCCTTGTGTAATTTAAAAGCGAGACACATTTAAAGTTTAAATAAAAGAAATAAAACCATTGACATTGCACTCTTTGCAAGTCTGCATATGTAATCTACATAATGTCTCACCTATTGATAAATAATGAGAAAAAGGAAGTTGACAGACTGCAACATGCTATGTTCATGTACACCCTGAGAATTGTAGTAATCGCTACCACGTTGGTCCTGTTGTAGTTTTTAAAGGGCTACACAATACTCACTAACCCTCCACTGTTCTGGATATACCAAAAAATAGTTTTTCTTTCATCTAATCTTTTATTGTAGTCAAATTAAAGTTTTTTTTTTCTTCTGATTTTTATATTCTGTTGTGTTTATTTTCTCTTTGTGATTACCATTATTTAGCTTTCTAGTTTTACGATGCATTTGACATATTATCTCAAACTCTGTGGAAGCATATATTAGTGTTTGAAGTCTACAGGAAGTGCAGTACAGGTGGGCCCCTTTCAGTCTGCCTCAAAATGTCCGTTCTGTCCCATCAACCCTCAATTTATTTAGGTTATTCTGAAACAATTTTATTTTCACATGCAAGTTAGCAGCCATGTTTAACATCCGAGTAGTAGTTATTTATGCACACCCGTATCAAGGAACCGCCAGAGGTGGATTTTCTGAACGGCGTAGGCATTTTGTCTGGCTTTCCTCTTTATTCCATCTACTCCAGGCTTCCCAAAGAGCACAATGCAGCAAGATTTTTCCTGGGTGACCATTGGAAGGAAAACGGCAAGGCTCCTCTACATCCCCATCAAGGTTTGAATGTCTCAAACCAGATCCTCAAACAGAAAACAGACAAAGCATGTCATACCATGCAGTTGTGCCTTGGGTCAGTGTTAAACATGTTTTATTCTTTTTTTTCCTTTTGGTCCTGTGCTTTCCACCCATCATTTACCCACTAAAAGGACTTGATTGTCTTGAATCAGTCGAATTAGTTCTTACTGTTTTCAAAGTAGGGGAAGAGATTCATCAGCTTAACCCAGCACAACACCTGTTCTTGTACTGTTAGGATTGTTTCAAATTTTTTTTTATGTTAGCACTGTTTATTATTATTCGAACTATTATTGCGTAAAAATGAACAGTTCTCACATTGTCAAACCTATGTGGAAATTAATTGAAGCGCTCCTCAGTGGAGTCATTTTTGAATCTCAGGTTACATTGAAGCATTACAGAATTCTCGCCAGATATGACAAGGGTCATGGCTGATGTTGCAAAGAAACAATAAAGTGTAATGACAAAAGTTACTATGCTGTGGTGTTTCTTTTACTTGTCTTATTGTTTGCGATTCCTTTCTGTGTTTGTGACATGAGTACGAGCAGTTTGTGAGTTATTGGAGTCAGAGTTGGTCAAGATTCATTTAAGATGCCATATATTAAAACACGAGTCATGTGCTTAAGATACAGTCTTTCTGCCATTCCTTTCTAAATGAAGGATAGTAGAATCATGGATGTGTGAGTTTAAACCACATTCCAATTCTGCAGTAAGTGAAATGAACTAAATGTGTAAGTTGAACGGATTTGTGAGCAGTAAAAGCAATCAACGTGTTTTACAGTCATGAGGATATTAACATACTATGGCTACAATTGGAATTTTGTATTACTTTTTTTTTTTTTGCCAACATATCTGCAAATGTAATCATTCTTAACTAGTCTTGACAAGTAATTGTAGATCATAATGACTTAAAAAAAAAAAAAAATCATTTGATCAAAAGCAACAGTAAAGACATTTATAAAGTTAAAACGGATTAAAAAAAAATTGTTCTTTTGAAAGAATCCTGAAATAAATTGTCACAGTTTGTACAGAAATATTAAGCAGCACAACTGTTTTCAACACTGATAATAATAATTGTTTCTTGAGCAGCAAATCAGCATATTAGAATGATATCGGAGACACTGAAGACTGGAGTAATGATGCTGAAAATTCAGCTTTGCCATCACATGAATAAAGTACATTACATATATATTCAAATAGAAAACCGTTATTTGAAATTGCAATAATATTTCACAATATTACTGTTTTTACCTGTATTAACTTGTAAAATGCAGTCTTGGTGAGCATTAGAGACTTCTTTCAAAAACGTAAAAATCTTACCAACCCCAAACTTTTGAATGGCAGTGTGAAGGCTTAAATTAATAAAAGGGGACACATGAAATGCTTTTGAAGACGTACTTTTATATTGAAAACACCTGTCACGCACTGCTTTGCCAGCCTCATGCAATGGTCACATTATCGTGCGTGTATTCTAAATGGGAAGAGGATGCAGTGCATCTGCATGGCAGACCAGTTTACCTTTTAATTTTGTGTGCTATGCAGCAAAATTCCTGCGGGATGAGAACTTCCTGTTTATTCTTGGTTTATTTCTTTAGATAGCTGTTGACTGTTTTAGATATCAAAGGTCATAAAACAATCCCAGGCTCCTTATTTTTAGTAACCGAGGATGTAGATTTTGACTGAAGCAGGGGCTGAGGAAATTAAAACTTGTTTTATCTGCCATTTATTTTTTCAGGTGTTAGAAGTAAAAGCTCTACAGGGCAAACAGCTATTCTGATGTGTTGTGTTTTTTACTTTTTCTATTAGTTTAGAGTTTGATTTCTAATTATTTTTCCTTTTCTTTGACCATTCTTTGACATTTGATTTGTGACTAGAATTTATTCTGTATTAGAACTTGAACATATTCCCGTTTTTTAAAGACAGGGAACAAGAGACGGTGGTTCTCATTAATAGGTCCAGCTCAGCAAATATCACTTCATCAATCTGTTCTTAAGTTTAGCAGCATTGACATTTCAAATCTCATGAGCCATTTCAGGTTGCACTGAACACATTAGAGTGAAGTGAACATTTGGTGGTTTGATTTGGACACAGGTGTCAGCTGTGGTGACCGCAAGTTTCATCTCCAGAAATGACTTCAGTGTTAAGTCTCCATCTTACATGTTCTCAAACAAAATGGAAAACTTGTTAATTGGGTTAATCTGTTTTGAAATTCAAATACTGGTCTAATTTTTTATTGGCAACTTGGTTTCAATTTCTGCAGAGCAGGGACATATGCTTTTAGAAGTCAACGTCAATCAAAATTAAGTAGCTTAATGTTCACTGTTGATTTTTTAAATTAAAATAATACTAGAGGGTTATTTTTATAGATAAATTTATCAGTAGTCAGGCTGTAAAATTGTATTCTTTTAAGCGTTTCCTTGGAAACATAATTTGAAGACTTGGATTTCTTGAGCACCCTGTTGTTTTAAGTGACTTTTATTGAGTGATTGCTTTTTACCGAGGACATAAACACTGAAAGGTTATTGGTAATATGAATAAATGGTGCAAGGGGAAATACTTCCTGCTGTTTGATGTAGTTCTCTATGCACTGCATTCATCAGAATTCTCAGCGGGTGCTCCATTAATTACAGGAAACAGCCTGTTGCAAGCTATAGAGGTAGACACATGCTTTTCTGAAAGTCAGCTGAATTCATCAATAACCCTTAGGGATGTATGATCTGGTAATACTTTTTCCGCAGTGTGTAAATTGTCTGAACTTGTCTAATGAGTATGCCAAAGTGTTTAGGGAAATAAACCTGACTTTTCACTGTAAAAATAAAAGATTTTGGGGGTTCATTATCATTACACTGAAGAAACCTCATGTTGAACCTCTTTCAAAAAGGGTCTTTCTCTGAGAAACTCACAAGACAGAACACATAAGTACACATAAAAAGTATGTTTTTTAATTATTAAATATATTTTTAAAAGATTTAAATAATCTTCAGAATATTGAAGTACTGTTATCTCAATATTAATATTAAATAATATTATAATTACAAGTATTTAACTGTGAAGTTACTTTAGTGCACATTTGAGGAACCTTCACAAGGTGCCTAAAGGTTCCCCAAATGGTTCTGCCAGTGTGGAAATGTAAGGAAACCCAAATGTTGCCTGAAGTATCTTTTTATTTTTACAGTCTGAGAGATTTCCTTTTGAAAAGTATCAATATATATATATATATATATATATATATATATGTATATATGCCAAAACAAGCCCAAAAAACGCCCATTTGCCTTCTGGAAATATGACGATACTCAAAAGAATTAGTTTTTTCATGCTTCGATTTGTGTAAACAGGTTGATAAAAGAAAGACAGACTGGATTATTGCTCTTTTAACATACTGAGAAACTAATTTCCCTGTTCATCTTTCCGAACATAAATTCACAGAACCAGGTGTGTGGCAGGTAAATATCAACATGGTTCTTTCTGGTGGCAAAAACAGCCAGGACTCACCGAGATGCACAAAAAACAGACAAGCTTGTGTTTGTCACATGAAAGCTGATGCTACCCACCAATTTGTCACATGAATGCTGATGCTCCCCACCAGTGCATTAGTGGAAAAAAATCTCTCTCAATATGTTAAAAGGGAAATCTCTTTGAAAAAGGCATTCTCACATTTCAGCAGGGTGCATGCTGTAGCATGGTCAGGATTCGGCTCTCCCTCTGCTTTTGGGGAGGAGCTGCTCTGAGGCACTGTGTTTGCAGAATTCTGGTGAGGGGTTGAGAGGGGAGATACAGCATTAGACTCAAACCTGGTCTGGAACCGGACAGAACGTCAACCTCCATGCAGTGCCAGGAGCTCCTCGTGTGGGGCCTGAGCTTGGCGATGATCCTGGTTGGGGTGATGCACTTTATATGTCTCATGAAGTCTCATGCTGCCTACGGCCGCTACGTGGACACCTCGGGCAGCTCCATGATGGTGCCCGCAAGGCTAGCCTGGTTCCTCCAGGAGCTTCCTGCTCTGCTGGTTCCCCTGCTTTTGATGCTGACCACGGATGGAAACAATGGCACCGGGAGACACCTGATGCTCTGGACCTTCTGCCTGCACTACTTCCAAAGGTAAGTCATGTGAACGATGGGGCAATGTGGGAGATCAGGTAATTTAATACTAGGTAATTTAACATCTTGAAAGATGAAAGATCATTAGTATAAAATCCAGATAGGCCAGAGAAAATGGATCATAGCAACTGTACAATGACACTGGCATGCGGTCACAGCTTTTTTGCTTCCATTTACTTCAGTTACGCCATTTCACAAACCTGATGTATAATCTAGCTCACCCAGAACAAATGAGGAAAAAATACCCTTAATCTGAAGACAAAAGGGAACTGGGTGGAATGTTCTTTTGCTTCTTTAGACAATCCTGCTGTGCTGACAATTAATCAAGGCTGCACAAACGTAACAGCAGAAATGTATTCATGTTTCATTTGAGTAATTACACATAACTGGGCCAAAACAGAAGCAGATGAATAAAGTGAGAAATGTTTGAATAATTCAACGGAAGCATGATCTGGACGAAACACGACAGGTTTGGGAACAGGTGTTGAATTACAAAGACATAATAACAGTGGAAGTGTAATGTACTGTGAGCAGATGACCAAAAGATGGTATTTGATATGTATCAACACTCTGGTTTGCAGGAGCTGCATCTACTCCCTGCTGACCAAAGGGCGGCCGTATCCGCTTAACATCATGCTGTCAGGGATTGTGTTTTGCTCTATTAATGGCTTCCTGCAGGCACACTATCTGCTGCACTGTGCTACATTTCACAACATGTGGTTTTCCGATGCCTGTCTACTAGCCGGTAAAACTTGTTTACTGAAAGAATTGCTATAATACAGGGTTGTGTGCTTTTCAAAATTGAATTGAGCATTTGAAATGAGGTGGCAAACAGGATGCACAATTGTCAGTTGAATTTGTTTTTAAGAAAGTATGAATAATTGGAAGGTACAGTCAAAGAAACTCATATAGGATATGAACAAATATATTCATATTTTTAGTATGAATTACAACTGCTTATTTTTATAAAGTAATCCGAAAACTGTGATGTTGCTGTATGAAAAATGTAAATCTGTTTGTACGGCTGTATTCATTCTTATAACAATATTGAAATTTTTTCTACCATCAAAGAGAAATATATTGAATCAAACTGGGATAAAATGTATTATATAGGGAATAAATATGCTGCTTAAATACTCAAAAGTATATGTAATTATTAATAAAATTATTTATTTGTTACAAAGCTTTTGTTGGGCTAATGAAATTCTTAAAATTTGTTGACCAGTTCATTTCAAATTCCAACATGTGAATTGAAAAGGAGATCATTCTTAAATTCAGAATTTTGCTCAACCTTTCTATTATATTTTAGAATGTATGTAATTAAAAAAATATTATGTAAATCCCAAAATAAAGGTTCCAAAAGTGGGTTTTAGCAGCAATGTCATAGAAGAACCATTTGTGGTTCCTTTAAGAACCTTGCAGAGAACAGTTCTTAAAAATGAATAAAGTATTAGAGCTTATTATTAGAGCAAATTTCTTTAGAGGATTTGCTGGATAATGTTTATAATAAGTCACATGTTTATATAATCACTTTTTTATATATGTATCTTTATTTTTCTAGGTCTGATCATATTTTTCATAGGAATGGGAATAAATATTCACAGTGACCACATTCTCCGCAGCCTGAGAAAACCTGGAGAAATTTCCTATAAAATCCCGAGAGGTACAAATATTTCAGGGTCTTTTTAATGTTAGCAACACTCATCATTTATTGTCTTTATCTCAGTCTCCGTAAGCAAACTGCAATTAGCTGCACTGAATAAATGCTAAGCTGATTTATGTGTTTGTTTTAACTGCAGGCGGTTTGTTTGAGTATGTGTCTGGAGCAAATTTCTTTGGGGAGATTGTAGAGTGGCTGGGCTACGCTGTTGCTACCTGGTCTTTACCCACATTTGCTTTCGCTTTTTTTACAATTTGCTTCATAGGCCCAAGAGCCTATCACCATCACAGGTAAACTTTACCTTGTAAAATTAATATTACTTATACATTTAAAAATTACAGAAGTTTTCATCTGGTATACCATTGATTCAATAAACATGGTTTTGAGAGTACAACGCAGTGATGCAACGCACTGAAAAATACATGTGGTTTCTCTAATGTGTTCCAGGTTCTATAATGAGAAGTTCAAAGATTTTCCCAGATCAAGAAGATCTCTCATACCCTTCATCTTCTGAAGAGCCATTACAAATAAATGGAGTTTTGTTCTGACAGAAGGAAAGAAATCATATCATTTGTACAGTATGTTATTGCAGTTGTTAGTATATTTGTGTGTAACTGTGTGCAATTTTTAAAATACTTTCTCCTATTGCAGCTTAATATGCAGAGAAAACTGTAAGTAGGCTGATTTGTCCAAAAAGTGTAAACAATGTGTGACTATTACAACATGAGCATCTTAACTAGTTTGTCACAACAGGGTTGACTGAGTTTGGGGTTGGGATTATCTGTTTGTTGGACAGTGATGGACAGTGTGTTTGGTAAACCTGAAAAATAGCCTAATCATAAATTTGCTATTAAATTTTGGTGATGCTAACAATCCAGTATTGCACTTCATATTTAAAGTTAAAAAATATTTACAATAAATAGAATAGTGAAATAATGTTTTTATTTTTTTGATTTTAATCTTAAAAGTTGTTTTAAGATCTTTTTCATCAAGGGAAGAAGAATAGGAAGAAAAAGATATCACTTATCTGATTCTTATTCCATCACATGCATAACTGAACATAGTTCATTGACTATTATGATTATCTGTATTTCATAAGGAATAAAACTGTGTCAGTAGACTCTCTGTAGAAGCGTAATTAGTGGAAAAAAGCCAGTGCCATCAGAAAGTGTACTATGAAAAGCTGTAGACAAGCAGAAAGAGCTATACCATTGCCGTCTATGGCATCATAAAAGGCTAAAACATTTGAAAGAATTCATACAGTGTGCAAAGACAAACCTCACTCCTTAGCCCTCCATTGTGGACACATTTGTGACAAACTCCTAAATTACCTATGATGATAAAAACCGTTTTGTTTTAGGCTACTATCTACTTACGAGAGTTGTCCGATTTGTGAACGGATCGTTCTTTTGATTTGAATCAGTTGAACCGGTTCATAAAACTTGTCTGAGTCAAGAATCGGACTGAATCCATCATAAAGCCCGAGACGGTTGTGGCTAGAAGGGATACAGCAAAAACCGGAAGCTAACATTAAATGTAATCTTCTACCTATTAGATTGTGTTTTATTAAAGTGCCCCTATTATGGATTTTTGAAAATTACCTTTCCTGCAGTGTTTAACACAACTCTAAGTGAATGAAAACATCCCAACAAACACAGAACATTCCCCTAACGTTCCCATTTGGTTATTTTTTTTTGGGAACCAAATAAGAACTTTCCCTGTAGGTTATTTTTAGGTCGCCAAGACGTGAGATTGACGAAAAATCGGCCGATTGCGATCACTGGCCGGTCAATCGGTGCATCTCTAAAAAAAAAATGGTAGTGCCGTATTTTGTGGTCAAAAAGTGCACCTGCTGCTTACCCCAACAAACACAGAACGTTCCTCTAACGTTCCCATTTGGTTATTTTGTTGGGAACCAAATAAGAACATTCTAGGAACGTTCCCTGCAGGTTATTTTTAGGTTTAATTTTATAACCTAAAGAGAACCTTCCCAGAACGTTCCCTGTAGGTTATTTTTTATTTTATTTTTATAACTTAAAGGGAACGTTCCCGGAACGTTCCTTGTAGGTTATTTTTAGATTAAATTTTTATAACCTCAAGGGAACGTGTCCTGTAGGTTATTTTTTTAGCCTGAATGCACTGTAAGTCGCTTTGGATAAAAGCATCTGCTAAATGCATAAATTAAAATTAAATTAAATAAGCTTTTAATAAAGTGTAGACATCAAAGTTGTCAAATCGCATTATAATGATAATGTATTTACAACTTTATAGCTGAAATTAAGCCAAGGTTAAGTGTAGTCTGAAAAGCATATAATAAACACTGGGTTTGTTTGTATCTTTCTTTACTGCACAATAGTTTAAAACAAGACATGGTTTGTACTGTAGTATTGATTATTGAGGTCCATATCCGTCCGTCTTCCATGCCGCTTACTCTACGAGACGCGGGGGTGCTGGATGATTACTGACGTATCAGCAGCGGTATCGGAGTAAAGAGGTTAGGAGAACGTTCTGGGAACGTTCCCGGAACGTTCCCCTAACCTAAAGGGAACGTTCTATTTACGTTAAGAAAACTTTCCTGGCTAACCAACAGGAAACGTTCTTAGGAACGTTCCGGGAAACAAAAACTAACGTTCCCAGAATGTTCTGGGAACCAAAAATTGTTAGCTGGGATATAAATATGTATAAATGATGTGTATAAATAATAAAGTTATTGTCTCTCAAAAGAAAGAGCCGACTCTGAATCATTGAAACGAGTCATTTTTAAAACGAATCCCAAGCTGTTTCATGTTGAGGTCAAAATGAAACATTAGCATATTGCCCGCCCACTTGTTGGTCTTTTCGGGTGGTCTGAATGAAAATGCAAATTCATTCTTTGCCACTAGGTGCCGCTTTTGTTGCAGTAAAATAGCTATTTCCCCGGTAACGGCTGTAAACAAAGCAGCACTGCACTCACAAACGCTGCTTTATCAGGCATTACAGGCAAGATGAAATGTAAAATGAGACCAATCGGACCAATCACCGCCGATTAGCGTCACGCAAAGGAGGGGTTTGGAAAAATGAATCGTTAAACGAATCATTTGGGAGTCGTTGAGCAAGTAAGGTAAAAATAAATGCATATTATAAGACAATGAATGTGTTTTTTGACCTTGCATGCATGTCAACCTGTTGTTGGGGACTCCCAAAACCAAAATATGAACCTTTCATAACTCATAATAGGGGCACTTTAACGTCTACACCTACCCCGACCCTAAACCTACCCCTTACAATAATGCAAAAATAGTAATAATTGTTGTACAGTATGAGAAAAATTATGCCTTATTGATTGGTTTTTGCTGTATGCCATCTAGCCTTAACCGTCCGAGACACACTGCAAGATTTTCAGCTGTCCCAGATGAAAGATTGGCATGGTGAAACAATTGTGGCGATTTCTGTGATCGTGGCTCCTAAACGGTGGTCCTATGTCGTACGGTGAGAGAGGTTCAAAGACAACCGTTGTCACGGTCTTGCGACCAAAGATAGCTTACGATCATTTTCTGACAGTAGTGTCAGAAATTCAGCATGATCATCGCACAGTATGTTTGGTGCTACGATCCACGTTTACTGACCAGCCAATAAAAATGCGACAATGCGACAAGTATTAAAAAAAAAGTACCCTCTAACATTTTTACCTTATAGTGCACTAATTGCCTTGGAGCTACCTGGAGATAAGTGCCTTTCTCAAAGGCACATGACACAATGAAGATGACTCAGGCAGGGTCCAAAATTAACCTTTTGTCATACCTGTCAAATACGTGTGAACTGAAAAAATGTACCTACACTAAACCCTTTTTAGTATCCATTAAACTTTATTTTGCTTAATTTAAAATCTGTCCTATGATAGCAGATTTAGCTGCTTGCATATTTGCAAAAAGTTCAGGTAATTGTGACTCTTGCAGCATCATATAAGAAATGAGACAGTCTCTTAACTCTCATGTGTTCCTCATATTTTGGTTTTGGTGGTTTAATGTAAGGAATATTTAACATGACTGTTGCCACATTCAGTTCTGTTGAAGAAAAAGTCTTAGAACAACATTTGATGATAAAATACATCAAACCTACAACCTTTATTAAAAGCACAGCTCTTCATTCATCAAAATTCAATTGATATCCTTAATTATATATTTTACATCAAGAACAAAATTAGCCATCTCGACCGCTACATTCAAAGCATTGAGTTTGGCAGAAAATGAATCTAATATTCTGGGCTGACTGTCAGTGTTTTCCAGGGAAACAGGAGAGAAAGTGTGGTAAGCTGTTTTTAGAGGGGTCTTCTCCAGGTTGGATCTGTCCTCCACAAGGCCACAGCTACAGGTTTTGGAGTATATATCTGGGACCCAGCGATGAGCATATGTCAGGTCAATGAGACAGTCCTGTCCATCATGCTCTAAGGAAAGAGCCACAGATTGCAGAGAGCTGCAAAATGCCTTGACTGCCATGATGAACTCGGAGTGAGAGATGCACAGAGCCTGAGCTATTGTTGAGGCTTTGGAACAATTCTGTGAAGTAAGTGAAAAAAAAAAATTAAATACAGCAGCAAGGAGAAATTACAGAGTACACCAAATGCCATGTCCATTTTAAGGGTGAATAGATTTGTTTGGTCATAGCTCCCCTAGTGGTCATTTTAGGTCATTCTAAATAGGTATGAGTACAGTCATGCCAAAAGTTTTGGCAGTGACATAAATTTTGTGTTTTGCAAAGTTTGCTGCTTCAGTATTTGTAGATTATTTTTCCACATGTTTCTATGGTATACTGAAAAACAATGATAAGCATATCATACGTTTTAAAGGCTTTTATTGGCAAAAATATAACGAGTCAATATTTTCAGTGTTGACCCTTGTTCTTCATAACCTCTGCAATTCGCTCTGGCATGCTGGATATTAGCTTCTGGGCCAAATCCTGACTGATGGTGATCCATTTATGCCTTAGTAGTTCTTGGGCTAGAATTTTTGGGCTTCTGCTTGTCCACTCGCCTTTTGAGGACTGACCACAGGTTCTCTACGGGATTAAGATCCAGGGAGTTGCCTGGCCACGGATCCAAAATTTCAATGTAATGATCTTCAAGCCACTTCTTTATCACTCTTGCTTTATGACATGGTGCTCCATCACGCTGGAAAATGCACGGATTATCACCAAACTGCTCATAGATCGTTGGAAGAAGTCGCTCTTGCAGGACGTTTTGATACCATTCTTTATTCATGGCAGTGTTTCTGGGCAGAATTATGAGAGAGCCCACTCCCTTGGTTGAAAAGCAACCCCACACATGGATGGTCTCAGGATGCTTAATTTCAGTCTGTCCTTGACATTTTTCTTGGCGAGAAGTGGCTTCTTTGCTGCCCTTCTTGACATCAGGCCATTGTCCAAAAGTCTGGGCCTCACTGTGCGTGCAGATGCTCTCACACAAACCTTCTGCCATTCCTGAGCAAGCTCTGCACTGGTGGTGACATGATTCCATAGCTGACTCCTCAGGAGGGGACA